GTGGTGATCCCAGTTCGTCAGGCACTATAGTCGCACGCCAAAAAACGTAGGTACGCGTATATGTACTATATATATATATATATATATATATATATATATATATATATATATATATAAGAGTATATACACATATGATACAACTAGGTTTGTCAGATCTCGCCGGTGTTTGACCCACGAGTGAGGCGCTTCTTCTTAGTGCTTTCTTCTAAACAATAGTTTCTAAAAGACGTGGGTATCGTTACAGTTCTTGTGACAGTGGGATTGGCGAATCGATTTCAAATCACGTCCTAGTCACGTGCGTGATCAGGTTTGCAGAAATGTCGAAGAAAAGCAGGAATAAATATATTTTCCCGCCAGCCATGCATTAAATAGTAAAATGGCGGCAAGCCCCCAGGAAAAACGAATTTGAATCTAAGAACGTTAAGAAGACAATAGGGTTTTTTTTTCCAATATATATCACAAAAAATCCTCGCAATTCGCTGATTACAAAGGAAATGAATTTAAGGAGAGCAGCGGCCGCTTATGTGCTTTTGTTACATGAAATAATTTTAAGAAATTCGCCTTCCAGATGTTCCTTTACATATTATCTGTCATCTGGGAAGTGTTTTAACACAGTGGTCGGCAACCTACGGCACGCAACCGGAAATGACATCACGATGTCCGAACCAATAATTACTACAACGCAAAGAAGATATTTAACTGTTTCAATTTTAATATATACTAAAATATATATACTATATATTACTATATAAAATATATTGTAGAACAGGTATATTGACCTTAGACTGAAAAATTTTAGAACCCTAAGTCGACACATAGTCATCAAATGTTGCCGACCCCTGAAATGGTTGTTTCGTTTGTTTCTTTATGGTATGTCAACTTTTCATGGGTCATTTAATGACGAAATTTAATTTTCTTGAGAGCTTTTGTAATTTTCTTTTACTATGAAAATCTGTTACTGATATTTACTATAAAAAATGTATTTTTACACTTTCATTTTTTGGGGGTGGGGGAGTTATTCATTGTTTGCTCCCAGCTGGGACCCTAAATGTTCCCTCGTTGGACTGCCATTAATAATAAAGACTAAAAAAAAAAAAAAAAAAAAAAACTTTTAAAACAGTTTATTTCCATTAATGTGTTTTACATATTATTGTATATGTTACTATATTAAAAATATATCGTCGAGCAGTTATATTGACCTTGACTTGCATAAAAATGCTTATGCTTTTGTCACAATGAATGATTTTAAAAGCCTAAGTCAGCACATACTTAGCATATGGTTGCCGAGCGCTGTTTTAACAGATAGCATAAAATACGTCACCGAAATTCGAAGTCACTTTGGAATAGCAAAAGATGACTCCCAAAATTCAACGTATCAAAACACAATAGTATTGCGTTAGAAACAAAGAAAACAGTGTTGTGGCACCATGCATACCTGACGAGCTGAAAAGAAATATTCATAGATATATGATTTGTTTTTTACGGTTTATCAACCATTTAATAATTATTTAGGGCCGAAAAATATTTTGGGTTTTAAGAATAATTCTTTCTTTACGTTCAAGTGATCTGGAAGAAGGAAAGAGAAAACGAAGAAGAAAGAAAGAAAAAATAATACGAAAACAGGTCATAGGCGAGCACACACACGCTCTGCTGACAGATAACAGGTGTCGAAAAATATCCAGGTCAAGCATCTAACCGAGATCAGGGGGAAATGGAAGTTGTTATCAATTGGTTGAAGAAACGAAGTTTAGGGACAATGAAAAATATTGATAAGTAACAAGTGGAAAGTGTGTCATTGGGATGATAGGTAACAGGTGGGAAGTGTATCTAAGGATATGAAGGCAAACCATTAATACGAAAACATAGACAGTCTCCAGAATTAGAAAAAGCCGCACAAGACGATGTCGCTGGAAAAAAAAATTTTTGAGATAATAAAGATTTTTATTATCAGCCCTTCAAGCGGGGGAAAATGAAATATTTTTATTTCGTTCCAAAACGCCAAAAGGTCTGAGAAATTCCTTTCTTAGATCATATCCAATTAGCGATAAACTGCTTGACAAATACCACGTGTTAAAAAGCCGAAGGTGTCATCTCAGTCGCTCATGATAAGGGCGATTTAAATTAATATTTTTGTTTTTTAAACAAGGTGTTCTTTCCTAAAACAAAGCCACGGATTGTCCACGCCCGACTAAAGACGTCATTGGCTAAATAAGATCACATGACACACGAAGGAGGAGGAAAGATACCCGACCAGGACCTCATTGGCCGAGAGCGGTCACGTGACGCACGAGGAGAATCGGTCGACGCCCTTGTCAGAAGTGTAAGTGTAAGGAGCCGATACGAAGAAGCGAAAGAAGCGGGTATACGCCCCTCAGAGGCACAGTAAGGAAGTGGGAGTGAGAGTGAGTTACCGAAAATGGAAAATCCCTAACCAGAAATAAGAAGGGTGGATACGTATTTAGAATTATCGAAAAAAACCCTGGCGCCGACAGATCCACCCCAGTTTTGACTGCGTCAATAAAAGCGGGACCCCAACCGACAGAAATCAGAGTTTCAGCCGCGGGCGGCGAGAGAGTTTGAGCAGCGGACGGCGAAAGAGTTTTGAGCCGTGGACGACAAGCAGAGATGAGCTCCCAGTGTTGAAACCGCGTCAAGATAGCTGACCAAGATTCACGCACACTTCTGGACTCTTCTTCAACCAAGAACAAGTAGTTTGAAGAGCGACTTGTAATCAGACCACAGAAATAAGTTTGTTTTTTTTTTTTGACTTTCGTCCAAAGACACACCGAAACACAAATTTCTTAGAGAGCAGACAACTTGAAGCCTTAAAGTTGCCTAGTAAAAGCGTTGTGCCACAATCCACAGAACGGGTCGGGAAGTAGACATAGTCCTATGTACCGAGCAAATATACATAAAAAGTTTGTTACCTTTTTCTTTGATACGTTGGACCTTGTGAGTTTTTATTTTATTTTTTTATATACATAATTGTGTGTTATCACCCCCGTTAGACTCATTACGGCCCCAAGCCCTGTTTGATCTCGTCTGTCTAAGATCAATTCACAACGTGGGTAGGCAGACTGGGGATCAGTGGTAACCAGGCGTTGGAAGTGGGTTGGGAACGACGAGGCTGATATCAGTCTAACCAAAGGGTTAGAACGTCACGTTTGGAGCAGCGAGGAGCGAACAGCTGACGCCGCGGCAAAGACGTCACAACTGGTGTTGTCCGTGACCAGGATATCAGAGCCTGGGGAACACGTGACGTCCCAATTGGCGCCGCGACCGGGATCGAACGACATAGTCGACGCTGCGACCGGGGGACGACGTCACAGTGTTATCTGGTACCAGCTTCCTTAATATGACAGTGAAATTTGAAAATTCACTCCCAGATGAAGAGAAGACTGTGGTTCTATGGAAGTATGCTGAGAATACAATGAACGGAACATGTCAGCAAGGAAGAAGCTTTAATGAAAATGGAAACAAAAAACATAATTATGCATAAAATCAACCAAATATAGTTAAAAAAAAAGAAGGCATGAAAAATTTAACACTTACAGGACATATTTAAGGCAAGAGGAACAGGATAAAAAAAGTTAGTAACATATCTTAGAAACTTGTGTAAATGGGTATCGGAACAGAGACTGGGAGGGATAGTAAAAAAAAAACAAAAAAAAAACATGGTTGCCAGCAAAGAAAGCTAGGAATCTGCGGAGAATCGTGATCGCCCATGGCACATAGAAGAAGATCGAATCAGAAAATCCGAGGTGAGCTATCACTAGCAGAAATGACCTCGGCGAGTCGAATTCAAATATCGGTTGTGACATTTCTATTTACTTCACACTTGGGAAAAGAGTGATGATGTAAAGAGCAATGGTCGCCTATACTCTGAAGGATTAAAGGAATGACGGAATTATCGAATCATTCGGAAGAATGAATATAAAATTCAATGTCTCAACCCTAGAATTATATCTGTGGAGATATTATTTTTAACGTTAAGTTGATATGCAAACATTTTTTCAAGTTAATAATTAGAAATTGTGTTATGCGACTGAATCCACTTAGTCTTAAAGAAGGGAATCTTTTTTTTATCAGCGCTAAGCCGACGCTACAAAATTATGAATGAATAAACTTTAACAAATAACAAAATGTATATCACTTTAGTACTTCCAACAGCAGCAATAGATAAAATGAATAGGAAGTAGAGGGAAAATGCTGATATAAGGAAAATGTTGACTTTTGACACTGCCTTAAACGAAACGTTAAGAAGGAAACTCCCAACCGTTCGAGAAAGTGGAATTGACAAGCCTATTTTCTTGAAAGACTGTTTAGGGGTAAAATCTTATAAATTTCAACCAACATTAACACTAAATGGCGAAGGTTTTCTGCATAGAAACGGTTAATCTCTCCGTTACTATTTTCATTTTGTTTCAACAAAAAATATGACAAACTGCATGAAGTAAACAGATTTTTTGCTGTCTTGGATGCAGAGATGACTTTCAGTCGAGAAATCAATCGATTTTTGTACTTTTGATCAGTGCATTTATTGATTCCGGAGGCCCTCAGTTAATCTAAAATGTCTTCGTTACATTTCCGTTTTCATTATTCTTAATTAGGTTGTCCTATTTTTAAATTACATCCCAGTATTTTTCCCGCTATTTTTTTTTTACTTGTTTCGATGTTTTTTTTAATCTTCAGCTTCCTTCTGCCCACGTTTGCATTAATCCTTAATTTCTTTCTATTTATTTACGACTTTCGTTTTCACACTTTCATTGCTTTTCTTTCGTTTTCTGTATTTTATTGTTTTCTTTTACACTTTTATTTTGTTAATGCTATCGTTTTCTCTTGTTTTCTTCTTTTGATTCGCTTAACTTTCTTTTCCTTCTTTTCACTTGACGCTTTTGTTTTTTTTAATTTTGTTTATTTTTCATTTCTCTCTATTTTTCCACTTTTCTGTACCTTTTCCTTTCTTCTTTTTTTTCCATTCTCTATATATTTTTATTGACATGTACCCTCTTTTTCATTCCTTTTCTTCCCTCTTTCATTTTCTTTCTTTCTTTTTTTTATTTTCCCTTTTGTTTTCTTTTATACATCTTTTTTCCAATCACTTTCTTTTAAACTTTCCCTTTTTCATTTCTTTTCTTGAAATTCGTCTTTTTTTTTCTATTTTTCTTTATCTGTCACTTTGGGTCTTCCTTTTTTTCTTTGAGTTCTCAATTATTTATTATTTTTCTTTTCCCGCTTTTCTTGTTAATTATTCACTTTTCTTTTCCCTTTCATGTCTCCAGGTTTGCTTTTTGCATTCGTACTTTTTTCTTCTTCAGTCTTTAAATTTTGTTTTCTTTGCTTTAGCTTATTTCTAGTTCGCAATCATTCTTATTTCTCTTCCATTTTCCCCTTCAGTCATTATTTTTTATTTCCATCCTCTAGCTTAATATATTCTTCGTAATCATTCTTATTTCTTTTCCATTTTTCTTCTTCAGTCTTTAATTTTGTTATTTCCTTCCTTTTGCTTATTTCTTCTTCGTAAACATTCTTATTTCTGTTGCATTTTTCACTCTTCAATCTTTAATTTTTTTTTATTTCCTTCATTGAGCTTATTTCTTCATCGTAATCATTCTTTTTTCTCTTCCATCTTTCTTCTCCAGTCTGTAGTTTTGTATTTCCTTCCTGTAGCTTATTTCTTCTTCGTAATCATTCTTTTTTCTTTCATTTTTCTTTAGTTTTTAGTTTTTATTTCCTTCCTTTAGCTTAGTTCTTCTTTGTAATCATTCTTTTTTCTCTTTCATTTTTCTTCTTCAGTCTTTATTTTTTTTTTTTGTTTTCTTCCTTTAGATTTTTTCTTCTACGGAATCATTCTTTGTTTCCGCCCCATTTTATGCATGTCTTTAATTTTTTTATTTCCTTCCTTTAGCTTATTTCTTCGTCGTAATCATTCTTTTTTTTCTCTTCCATTTTACTTCCTCAGTCTTTTTTTTTTAATTCCATCCTTTAGCTTATTTCTTCTCCGTAATCATTCTTTTTTTCTCTTTCATTTTTCTTCTTCAGTTTATTTTCTTTCCTTTAGCTTATTTCTCCTTCAAAATCATTCTTTTTTTTCTCTCCCATTTTTCTTCTTCAGTCTATATTTTTTCTTATTTATTTCTGTTTTCTTATTTTTTGTTATAATCCTTTTTTATTTTCCATTCTTCTTGTACATTTTTTCTATCTTATTTTTTTTTATTTCTTCGATTTTTTTCTTTTACATTCTTGTTTATTTTATATTTCATTCCTTTTTCTTAATCATTCTTCTTCATACATTTTTTTTCCTTTTTTTTCTTCTTCGTAATCATTCTTTTTTCTTCTATGTTGTTTTCTTCATCCTTTATTTTTCTTATAATTCCAATGGTTTTTGGTTTTCTTTCTTTTCATATAACCAACTATCTTTTATCATTTTATGCTTTTCTATAATTTTATTTGTTTGTTTTCTTTGAGGGCGCAAAATTAAAGATTATTTCCCTAACTTTTCTTTTGCTTTCTTTTTCTATTCCTCCTCTTCCGTCCGTTTTTCATTATTTTATATTTCCTTTTTTTATTCCTTTTGTTGTGTGTAAAGAATTATTTAAATTCCAACCATCCTATTTACATTCTATTTTTTGTCCCATTTTTTTTTCTAAATACCAATATCGTAATGATGCAAACATTTTTCTAGTAACGCTTAATTTTTGACCATTTAAATTAGCCATGCCTGAGGGTAGCGAAAAAAATTAAATCAAAAAAAGAAGAAAACAGACTTTTTAATTTCCGCTGCCCCCACATCAGATAAAACTCCTGCAAATTGACGAGTTGATTAGTTGAAAGAAAAACGTCCAATCTCTTGAATTAGAAATTTCCTTCGAATAAACTCCATTCAAATTAAGTTGGTTATTTGCATTTTAAGTGTGGCTGATTTACTCATAGAGAATTTATTAGTGTCATATATATCGGTTAAACTTTTTTTTATATAATTTCTAATTAATTTCTATTAGAATTTTATCTTGTACTACTTTTTAAGGAAACGTTTTTTGTTACTCTGAAGCATTATTAAAAACAAACGTTATTATAAATATCAACGCCCGAACAAATTACGTGTTTTTCTCAAGCGTACATAGGTGTCTGGAATTATTGCCGCTCAGTGTTCTTCATTTACTTTACCCATAAGGATTCATTTTAAACTTTTATTTGCAAAAAAAAAAATGTAACGCTATTTTTGGAAAAATATAAACACCGAATTTTCTCTCTAAAAATGGAGTCGAGGAAAGAACAAAATGCTAATTAGACTAAGATTCAAAATAAATGAAACCATGACATATTAAATCGATGAGGTAACACGCAGAGTCCTTCATGACATTTCTCGTGGAAACTAGTGTTACTTGACAAAGTTTAGTTTCTTTCCCAAGAGGTTGTTTGAACAGAATTAAATCAACCCCAGTCAGATCCACCCAGGGAAGTAAATTTATGCCTTCTCCCAGTTATCCAGTCATTATGAAATTCAAGGATTTTATTTTACAACTTATATTTATAAGCAGAATTTTAAAATAACCTTAAGTTTTCAAACTTTTCAAATTTAAGAACACTCAAAAATATTCTTCAGCCTAACTGTTTTAAGGTAAGGGGAGACTATTGAAGCGGCTAAATGATAAGTAATGAGAAAGGCGAGTTTATCTTTAATTTCACAGTTAAACTGGAGAATATTTTGGGGCGTTCTTAAATTTACAAACTTTGAAGTTATGAAGTTATTTTTACTTATGTTCATAAATACATGTTGCAAAATAAAATTATACATTTACGTTGATAAAGTCCATCTGTGGACGAAACACGGTGGTTAAAAATGTTTTTGTTTGTCTTTAATGATATATATATATATATATATGTGTGTGTGTGTGTGTGTGTGTGTGTGTGTGCGCGCGCGCGCGCGTGTGCGTGTCTGATTGAATAAATTACAGATATTATGTCTGGTAATTCTTAATAAAATTCGCTCATACTCACGAGTAACCTGCATTGGTGTTAAAGGATAAGAGAAATGTGCTATAGCTGTTTAAATTTCTTTTATTTTCATTTCTCAAGTAGTTTCGATCTTCTTCCAAGATCTTCTTCAGGGATGCATGTGGTACAAAACAAGATGTTAATATTGTTAGTATAATTATTTATACAAAATTATGCCTTGTTATCCATTACCGTAATAACTTTGTATAAATATTTGGACTAATGAACAACACACACACATATATACATATATATATATATATATATGTGTGTGTGTGTGTGTGTGTGTGTGTGTGTGTGTGTGTGTATTTAGACAGCAATCCTTCTTTCATGCAGATTTTTCCTTGAATATGACAGACAAGATGCTTTTATTTAGTTTTATACAATTTCTCGTGTGATATTTTTTTCCGTATATAAACTGTTCAACTTTCTTTCCGAGTACTTTCGACTATACATTTAGGCATTTCCAAGGTTGAAATATATTAAATGTTAGCAAGAAATAGATTGTTGTATGAATGTATCTATATATTTTTTTCATTTTCAAAATACGGTCAAGATATTATGTCCATGTTCATAGTTGATATTATTGGTTGTTGGATTTTTCGTTTTTATTATTAAGACTTCCATTATTTATAACCCATTTTTACTTGTAGACGATACTATTATATTTTTGTTATCAACAAGTATGTAATAATATGGTCCAGTAGGTCTTCATGAGTACTTAATTGAGACCAAATTGAGCTATGATCAGAAAGATGTAGCGTGAGTCTTCTTGTGAAACATGTTGTAGTGTGGCCTTTATAATTGTTTACAAATTTTGATTGATCAGGAATAAAATTCCTTAATGGACATTTTAATTCGTAAATATTATTTGTTTTATTTAATTTTGTTCTAAGAAGCGAATTATTATCTTTAACTATAAGTTTGGTGGTTTTAAATTTTTTGTAATAAATAATTAGTCTAATATTTTTGCTACTGTCAACTGGTGTTGTCCATTTTTTTTTTATAATATTCTTAATTCTAGTTTCATCTTGTTTGTAATTTTCGTTCATTTGATTTTTCTAAAAAATATTAATATTATTGTTTATATTTCTATTCTCTTCGTTGATATTAGCTACCTTAAGCAGAAAAAGCCTAATATGGAAATCCAATAACTGATTAGGAAATCTGTTATTAATATGCGTTTGTTTTACGTTATTTAATTCTTTAAAGAAAAGCGCGCGAGAGGATGAATTCTCGTGAGCTCTTTTGAGGAAATTTTTAATAACACCAATTTTATATTTTTACTAGAGACATTAAGATGGCAAGAGTCTCCAATAGTTGTTTTTTTTTCTTTTCTAAACAGGAATTGTAAATGTATTATTACTAAAATCAACAAGAACATCAAAGAAGTGGAGTTTATTTTTTTCACTAAGTTGATATGTACATTTAGATCGGAATTTTGTCGAAATTCAATGAAACGAGCATATATATATATATATATATATATATATATATATATATATATAAATGGTGGTACTCGTTTGGAAAACTTCGGATAGCTCAACTTGCAGTAGAACAAATCGGTACCCCAGTAAAAATGGGGAATAAAAAAGAAAGAACCAAGAACATTAAAACAAGTCGAAAACAATCGTCCAGTGTTTAAGCTCCAAGTCCAAAGTAAAAAAAAAAACTAAAACGAGCAAAAACACCAAGTGCCAACAAGATGTCGTGGTCTATCAAATACAAATACACAGAAATAAATTGAATAATACTGATAAGAACCCTTAAGTTTACATAGGATCCACCCAGAATAGTTTCAAAAACGATATTACAACAACCTAGTTTCATTAGCGAAACCTATAAACATAGTACTATCTTGTCCAGATATATATGGAAGATCAAATATGAAGATAATAATAACCCCATTTTGAAATGGTAAATATTAAAAAAAACTGTTATAAACATAAGGCAGTTGATAAATTCTGTTCACTATGTATGGAGGAAAAACAAGCTATCGCTAACTACAAGGAACCTAAAAATTTAGTGAATCAAAAATCGGAAATCCTTAGTAGGTGCAGGCATTGAAAAGGCTGGTTATTAGAATGGGTTTATTTTTTTTTTTTTTTGTTCGTTGTTCAATAAAGTAAATACCCCCCCCCCGCCGTTGTTTGTCTTTTTTTATTATTTTTTTGTTATTTATTTTTTTCGTCAAGTGATCATGGTTATTTTTGGTTTTATGTACTGTTCCTTAATTTTCCTTTCCGGCCGGCTTTACCCGGAAGAGTCATTTAGGTGAAACCTAGGTAGGTTTGCCTGGATCCTTAGGATTATCTTATATATATATATATATGACAATAGGAAAACTGTAGTTAAATATGAAAATTGTCTTTTCTACAGGTTAACTCTGAGAAATATATATATATATATATATATATATATATATATATATGATTATTTTTTAAAAAATATGATTCTTTCGCTTCATAAGAGTTCTCATGTTGTCTCTGTCGGGGAAAGGTGGTTTTTGTATGCTAGTAAAATTGTTTATTTATCGGCATATCAACTCCCTATGGTTGGCCATTTAATGTTGAAATTCAATTTTCTTAGCAGCATTAGTAGTTTCTTTTACGGAAATGTATTGCTGGTAATAGATACGTATAAATATATGTATTTTTAAACTTTTATAGCGTTTTGACTGAAGTTTGGGGTTAACTATTTGCTCATATCTAGGATCCTAACCGGCGCAACTATCCTGGTTCAAGGTAGACCTGAGAACAACCGTAATTAAGTGTTCATTTTCTTGAAATCTTCCAGATCAGGGCCTTGCTGCCGGATGTACTTTATCGTCATATCCAGGACGGTGTATGCCAGTGCGATATCATGATCATCATCATCATCATCATCATCAGTTCCATGACCGAATGTAGTGATTGGGTTTGTTGTGTTACTGATCACCTGACCAGCTCTATCCATATCTCTTGCTTGCACGCCAGTGTCTCTGTAATTGATCTTTTAGACTACTCATTGACTTTGTCAATCCATCTTTTCCTGTCAGCCTCTTCTCCTTTTGCCTATGGTGTTACCTCGTAGGATGGGGTATGGAAATATCGTTGTTTCTTAAGACATGTCCATACCACTTTAACTCTGCGTAGGTGATACCTTGGACAGTTATATAGCAACTAATGCTTAGATTTGTCGCTGTAATTCTGCTGTTAATGGTCAAGATCTTGTAGACGTACGGAAAGGCTGAGATGTTCGATGAATGCAAGAGTCTGATTTTTGAATTCGTCTTCTTGTCTTTCCAGATGGCTTTAATTTTTGCAACAGCTTCCATTGTTTGTGCTGCTCTTGAAGTACTTTTACAATACATCGCTGCTATCCTTTTCTGCGTTGGTGATAACTTAGCTGGTTTTGTAGCACCTAATGCTTAGATTTTTTTAATTGTCTAACTACTTTAAATTCCTGATTATCGATTTTTGTCTTGCCT